TATTTAAATAGCAATGTCTTTCACCTTGTATACATATATGCATAACCCATGGACACAGACAGTGAGGTGCTAGGGCCTGGGGCAGGGGGTCGGGGTGGGCTAGAGGGGGTTGATAGGGGGAAAAGGGGGTCATATGTAATACTTTCAACAATGAAGACTTTTAAAAAATAAAATAAGATAAATAGCAATTTCTTTCAAAAGTCCTAAGCATATTATGGATACCAGCTAATTAACTTACCATGGAAGAATGAACATAGATTTGTTATTACTAATTTTTCTAAAACTCCTAGTTACAATTGAGACCATTTTATTAAAAAGATGTCATACAACTGCAATATCTTCGTACTATCTTGGAAGAAATTAAGAGTCAACATTATCTCTGTAGGTATTCTTCTCTATGTGCTCTTATTCTTTGCTTTTTAAGTGAGTTTAGGAAGAATTTCCCTTGAATTTACCAACTCCACTCTCAGGCACAACTGGTTCCCTAGAGGGGAATCTATATATTACCTCCATGAAGTATGTCTGTGAGGGTGGAAGTGAGGGCGAGAGGGCAACCCGAGATAATCATTGCTAAAATGTTTTATTTGCACATGATAATTTCTCTTTTCATAAATATCAGCAAATATGCTTCTCTCCCCTCTCCCTCTCCCTCTCTCTCAGGATATCAGGCAGATAAGAGTTATCAGTAAAGGTCATCCTCAATTTCTGTACAGAAATGATCTGTCTCCGGTATGTAATAAACATTTATCCATGCCTTTATTAGCTATATTGAAGCTGACAGTTCTGTTAAACCATTTTCCTTCATTTTGCTAGGTCATGACGGTTAATGCTGCTAAAAAATCTCATCACTGCTTTTGATCACTGTATTGTCTTTGCTGCATTATCAGAATTTTGTGAAGGTAAGCACTGGCTGGAATGACCTATTAAAGTTACAGCCCGTTGAGTCTCTGGGTTTTTTGCCCCCTCTTTTTTCATCACAATAAAAAGGCAAAGGAGTGCAAAGAATAAATTTTCCTTGGAGGGTTATATTTAGTTGGGTAGTTGACATGTTCAGTCAACTCTCAATTATCCACAGTAAAAAGGATCCAAAGCATCAAATATAAATGAAAACCACACATAATCCCAAATCTTCATTTGGGCTGAATCTTTTACCAGTGTGTTCTCAGAATTTAAAAAGGTAACTTCACATTTTACTCAGAGCCCTTTCTCATCTCCAGGGACCAGTTCTCAGGAAATAGACGAATGCAGAAAAAAAACAAAAGCAAGAAGAACCCACCCACTGACAGAACATCCGCAGACAACTGAGATGTGCACCAGAAACCATGACCGTCTGCATCGCTGCCTTTCCGTCTTTCCTTCATTCAGGCCACTTAACCTCTCCTCTCGCTCAAGGCAATTTTAAAGAAACTTTTGCTTCTGACCAATGAAAAACAATGAAATAACCATCAAAACATACTGGATTAAAGAACTTATAAAACTTGTCAAAGGTCAGTTGTCAATTTCAAGGAAATAACGTTCAGGTAAATGAATAAATAAATTGTTTGAAATTTCAAACATGTTTTCATTCAGTTAAACAAATATCTATTGAGTTCCTATTACATGCCAGGCACAATGGGATGTCTAGGGAACATAAAATTATGAATGATTCATTTTTGTTCTCAAGCAGCTTCTAAGCAAGAAATCACAAAAAATGGATATTTGAAATTCACAGAGTGATATTAAAGCACAGAGAGGAAGCAGCTTCCGCAGCCAGGGAGGTCATGGAGGACTTCTAAGAAAAGATGAGGTCCAAATGGGATCTTGAAGGGCCAGCACAGTTATCCAGGTGAAGAGAAGAAGCAAGAGTCGGGGGAAGGGCATTCCAGGCAGAGGGACTAGCATAAGCAAAGGCTCAGAGGTATATCACAATTTTGTGTATTCATAGACCTCTGGGATCTCCAAGTTGTCAGACCACAGCAACTATGACATGGGTCTGGGGCAAGAAAGGGAAGGAAAAGACAATTGATGAAACGGAAAACTGGGGCAAGTCCAAGTCTTTAAGGCCTGCGTAAGGAATCTAAATCAGTCATCCTTCCAACATCATTTACAAGCAATAAAGTAGGAATCAACGTGACATTTTAATTTCATTGTCTGTTTGTTCGTTCTTTTAGTTATTCAACATTTTTTTAAGCATTTACTACATGCCAGGCACTGTTCTAGGTGCCAGTGGTACCGTGGTGAACAGAACCAAGACCTGAACTCAAGGTGTGATCATTCTGATGGCGGGAGAAAGACAAAAAGCAGATGAAAACAGAATAACAACAAATCATGTCAGATGACAATGACATGTCAGAGACTATTTAAGCTCTAGTCTCTAGAAATAAGGCTGAACAGGGCAGAGAGGAATGTGAGGTGAGGGGATGGGGGACGGTGAGCTATTTTAGAGAGTGGTCAGGACTCTCTGAGGTGAAATCTGAGCAGAATCAAAAAGAAATATATCTAAGAGATTGCTTTTGAAGCAGAGCTGGTCACAGATGCAAATGTCCTGAGAGAGGAGTGTGGTTGGGAAGCTAAAGGGAAAACAAAGGGGATCGTATGGAGCAGAGCGAGCAAGAGAGAAGGCAGGGAAGGTGGATGCCGCGCAGAGAGATGCAGATTAGTACGTGGCTTTTCAAGCTTTTGGATAGTGATGTAAAATGATACGTTTTACATAGTGACAAGTGCATGTGTCTCGGAGATAGATACTGAAATAGAGATATTAAAAACTTTCAGGAAACAATAGTATGTGCAGGGCACCCTGACATTTTCAATTCTAGTTCATTTTTTTTATTATAATCACAATCCATTACATCTTTATTCCAACCTATTAATATGTCACAACCCACAGTATGGGAAATGCTGAGACAGGGTCATGTAGACTAGTTAAAAAAATACACACACATGTTCTTTTTAAGGTACCCAACACCTAACTCAGTGCAAGAGAACGGGCATCCTAATATTGTTTTTGAATGAATGGGTGCATGACTATAATGAAAAGTTATTTGTAAGGCCCAAAGTCTGAAGACTTCAAATTGGGCATTTCTATACCAAAACCAACACTAACAACTGCAGTGATCTTCAGCTCACTGCTTGTCACCAGCTGCACCAGTGTGGACTCAGAATTTAACAGAGAAACAATGTCAGTCACTTCCCAAAGTGGACAAACTTTTCTCAGGAAGGCAATTTATTGGAGGCAAAGGGAGAGTGCTGACATTTTAAAAGTATGGGTTTTCTGGAACCCAAATATTTCGTTCTGAATTAAAAAAAAAATGAGATAAAATAAGTTAGGAGTAGGTCCCCAAAGAGAGCCATTGTTGTTTTCATGGGAATTAATTTCTCCTACCCTGATGTGGCTTCCAACAACAAATTACAAAACCATTAACTACCAGTGTGACCATGTGCCAGAATTTCTAACTAGTAGGAATTTTTGTTTTGTTTCTTAAAGAGCTGCAAGTGAAGCAACCTTCCTCATGAAGTTAGCTGTACGTGTTTTCTAACAGAACTGACTTGGAGTTCGGAAAATCTGATCTTTATTCTGTGGAAGAATAAACATTGCTAAAACTTACACATTGCTAAAATTTAAGCACTTCAATATACAATATTAATTCATTAAACCGTAACAATAACTATATGGGAGGAGTACAATTACTATCTCTAACACAGGAAATGAGGCACACAGAGCTAAAACATTCTATACATATATAAACTTACTTAATCTTCATAACAACTTTATTTTACAAATAAGGAAACTGAGGCACAGGGAGGTATAACTTGCTCTTGGTCATGCAACTGCTAATTGGAGGAGCTGGGACGGAGTCCAGAGCAATCAGCGCCAGAGTCCATGCCGCTCTGCCTCCTTCCGCTGTAATGTCTGTGCCCAGTGAGCCCGTAAAGCAGATGATACTTGCCAAGCGAGACTTTAAAAAGAAAAGAGTGAGTTCCTCCTCAGAGGAACCAGTGGCCCCACTGTACATAGTCACACCAGTCATTAGGTGACAGTTTTACTATGCTGACCACCACGGAGTTAGCATGTGTAACCTGTGGAGATTTTACCTTAAACTTTCCCCAATAAAATTCTCCAGTAGAACTTTGAAGTTATCTTCCGCCTGAGTTAATGCAATTTGTAATGTCTCTCTGCATATGCTTTTTGTTGTTGTTTTGTTTTTTTGCTTCTCTCTTACCTTCTTTAGACCCAAGTTCGGAACATTGTCCCTTTTAAAATTAACAATGCAAATGTCACACGGAATAGTCTATGTGTCTATTTCACATCTCTTTCTTAAAATTGATCATTAGATACCAGTGGGTGTTTATAAAGCGATGCACACATCTAGACCCATGTTCATCTCAGCATTTACGGTTCTTATTGGGGGAGAATTTCCCTCATGCTCACCTCATGCTATTGTTTGCCTCTCCAGCATTGTATACACACACACACATATACACATTCAAAGAAAGAGTAGGCTGTTAACCTTGATCGTCTGTGCCTTAATCCAAACTACTTTCCTCGTTATCATGATAATGGTCATATTAATGGTTAGGAGCCATTGCCTAAACAGCCTTTGTCCATGGGGACTAAGCATATGTATACTAATAATAATTCTATTCAAATTCTCTATCACCCCAACTTGAAGATGAAGGTTGGTATTGATAACTCTTTCACCATCTGAATACAAATGCAAACAACAGAAGTGCACAGAATACCACCATGCCCTCTGACCTCATGCCTGAGGTCACTGGACTCCAAAACAAGAGACAAGACCACTTTGGTCATAGAAATCTCAGAGGGGTATTTCAAACCACAACCTGGTATTTCTTAATGAGCTCACGTTGCTTAAACTCTGATCTGGCTGGTGGCCAAAAGAAAACCATCCCTTTATTGGAAGGTATAACCAGGGAGGTATAACTTGCTCTTGGTCATGCAATTTATTCAAATTCGTAAAATAAAGTCAGCAGTTGAACAAAAGAAGCAACTGAAATATTCACTTTCCCATGGTGCTGGGGTATTTTAAGCCAGGCATTTTCTGTGAGAGCTTCCCACTGTTAGGAGTGAAATGAACAAAAACAAAAGACCAAATGCTTATCAGCTCTACTAATATTTCTTGTTCTTTTTAAAAGTATGTTTTGGAGACAACCCATGATAATAAAAAACCACATGGTGGTCAGGTCATCCTAGTTTAACAATACATTCTGTTATATTCATAACCTTGGATAAGCCCCCACTTCCCAGTCTAAATCAGTTTTACAAAGAAAGTGTATTAATTTTTTTTCTTTCTCAGAAAAACCCTGGAGCTCATTGTAGTAACTATCCTCCAAATGTTTTTACAGTAAAAATGTCATGATATAAAAATATAACAAAATGTTTCATAGGTTACAGATTAAGACAAATCCTTCTTATAGTACATTCTGTACTGTATGATGCTAAAATAGCTGGGCTTGTGAATCTATTTCAAATGACAATGCCCTACAGGCTTCAGGGAGGCTATCTCAGCATTATTACCAGGGAAAATACAAGAGTAGAAATTACATGAAAGAATAATCTGTCTCTTCTATTTAGCATTTTTAACATGACAGCTTCAAATCCTACTTGATATCGACCAGAAATTTAGGTAAAAAGAGTTAAATCCACTGCAAAAGAAAAAATAAAGCATCCAGCCACAAATACAAAACAAATAGAATGGGGTATCAGCATGTCACAACTCCAATGTACCTAGTCTCTATCGTTTAATCTCTATTTTTTGTGAAGAGACAAGTAATCAATAAGAAGAAAAACTATTGATCGACTAACAAGTTTAATACAACCTTGAAATAAATTCTGTTCCAAACCCAGAAGCCTCCTTCAGTGTAATAGTTAAATTACTGACTTCCAGGAAAAACAAAAACCCTACCCTTAGGCCAGTATCAGCATGATCCTTTATTTGAAGTCTTACAGGCTGTTACCGGGAAGACCCTGATGGTTTGGCCAAAGAGAAACAAACACATCAAGTAGCTCAATACAAGCCAAGCAAAATGGGGCGTCCCAGTATGAGAATATTAAATTATTATGGCTGCAACAGGGGGCACAGTGGCTGGTGGCCCCTCCCACGTATGGCCTAGCTCCTCTCTTCCCGGCCATGAGCGAGCTTTGTCATACCTAATATCCAAATGCTTTGATAAGAATAAGATTGCTAAGATGATAGCAGGAAACTTTCAGCAGAAACTCCATTTTCCAAAGCCTGCCGTGTTCTCCCGATTGCTTTTCCTCAGAGGTTTTCAAAAAGAAAATGTTTTTCTATTTAAAAATGAGAACAAAGCTCCTATTATGTGCATATGTGTATTACATTTATTGACACATGCACAGGTCTAAGTTTAGGAGTACAAATATTCATCAGCAATTCAATACTACAAAGGATCAAGATAATATAAATGCTACACAAGAAAGAGCCCAAGGAAATTGGCTGGATAAGGATAGGGCAGCAGAATGGGCCGAAGCTTTCTGAATCTAACATTCTGTTGGTTGGGGGAGGGGTGTTCCCCCATCCAAAGGATTTCCAGTGGATGCATGAAGGAGACAAGTTCTTAAATCAGGGAACGGTCGCCCATGTGGGCATTATTGATGGCACCTTGTGAGAAGAAGCAGTTTGGGCGCCTTTATTCCCTTTCATTTTATACAACACTCCCCTCAATGGACCCAGTGAGGTGGGGTGTAATGTGGGTTTTTTTGGAAGAACACTAGTAATTGTTAACAAGTTCAATATCTGTACGTAAGGTCGATTCAGAAAACCTTGCTCTTTGTCCCAATCAAATAATGGTTTTAGGGAAATGCTACCCTTTTGCATTCTTTTCTTAGTCAACGCTATTTGGTCTACAGCCATTTTCAATACAAAATTTCAATGGCTTGAAAAAAAGCAGCAGCTGGAGACTAAAGCCCTGCAGGTGGCTGCCGATAAAGACAGGATTGTAACTTGCTGGCATGAGCCCTCGCCAAGTATTCTGAATACAGGTCAAAAGGCTTGACAAATTCAAAAGTCAACTTTAAATTATAATCTACATGCAACTCATTCCTTACCCTTGCCACCCAAAAGGATCTCTTTTTTCCTTTCCTGATTACATGAGAATGGACAGAATTTTATTCACCTTTTACCCACAGACTCATATGAGTGTATCAGTGTATTTATCGTGTATTTATCAGTGTATTTATCGTGTCACAGACACACAGTTATTTCTGGGACTTTACAGCTTAAAGCATTGGTGGCCATTTCTTTAAGAAGGAGTCACCTATTTTTTCAATTATATATATGAGAAGACTATCCTTTAAGTATACTTTTTATAACTGTTTGGGAAGAAAAACACTAAAGAAAGATAATTGCTTATTACCACTTTGCCATCATATGGTACCACCAGTGCTCTGCCTCGATTTTCCCTGCCATATTCGGCCATGTTTGCGCTATTACTCTGTGTCTGCTAGCACTTATGTTTCTCATCTTCATAGAATTAATTAGTAATTGCTTGTATATGTCTTCAGAAGAATTGTCTCTTGCACATATTTGCTCTATCTCCATATTTAAATTATAGATTTCCCAAAATCAAGAATTATGTTTTCATTTTCTGCATTTCCCCAAAGCAAGCCTCTCTCTGTTCAATATGAATATTTAGTAAAATAGTTAACAGTTATAAAGGAGAAAGAGATCCAAGAAAGCTATAGAACAACGTCTTAACAGTGGTCATTTTTGCAGAAATGTAGTCAGAAGAAGGGAGATACGTTATATAATTCTGAAGTGTTTTTTTAATAATCAGTATATATATTTTTATAATAAATTCAAATAATTTTAGAGAAAAAGGAAAGATCTGAAGAGACACACTAATCCTCACTCACCTTGAATGATCCAATTCGACTACACCATCAATTTATTAATCAACAGCACAAATGAGTTACAGATCTTGCTTCAATGTGAGAAATGTGGAGTATACATCTTTTAATCTGAACTTTGACTTAACCTGTGCAAATGGAGAAAAGAAATGGCATTTTTTAGGATGAAATGGAATGTCATCTTGCCATACTCCATCTACTAATACTAGCATTCATTCTCCCAACAAATTTTTTTAACATCTACTACATGCCAGACATTTTTCTAGGCATTGAGGATACAGCAGTGAATAAAACAGGTAAAAATATTACTATCACCACCAAATTACATTCCAGTTTGGGTAAATGGACACCAAACAGCAGCATATTTAATAGGTCATATGGCGATAAGTGCTTTGGGGAAAAAATAGAGAAGGGAAATTAGGACTGCCGTGGGCAGTAAGGATGGCTGCAATGATCAGCTCTGTGACTTCCAGGTCTTGTCTTATCTTGAAATAGGGCTGCCTTTCAGTCCGACTTCAGTCTCAGTAGGAGTAGGAGGTGGTGAGTTTACAGACTAGTGATACAGCTGCCAAATACATATACAAGATTGCCAACTGATTCCAATGGCAGGAACCCCTGTATCTTCTTGCTTTTGCACGGAAGCCACACAGAGAGAACCTGCTCTGCCAAACGTTGTTGTGTGTGTTTTTAAATTACAAAAATAATAGCACTTTTAGAAAAACATAGAACCTCTTCTACCAAGAGCACAATGTTCATGGAATTATAGTGCATTGGGGGATCCATATGCTTCTATTTCCTCCATAACTAAGATTGGTTTTAGTGAAACAAGTTTTAACCCAACAAAGGTCAGAGTGCCTTAAATATTCTTACCACCAAATAGGAGTAGATCCAGGTTTTATAGAGCCTGAAGCTTATACAATTTGAGAAGGCCCTTGTTACGAAAAGAAATAACAAATTACAAATAAAAATTAGGCATTAACTTGAATCATTTATTTAAATGATAAAAGAAATCAAGACAAATTCTATAATTCACAAAGCTCACAAACAACACAGAATCCAGACGAATAATCCAGACTATCTTCTGGTTCTGTTCGTTTCAAGTCTGTTTCTCCTCAACTACCCAAATACGCCAGTGATAAGCACAAGAGAATACAGCCTCTGGCCCTGTTTCTTTGTGTCATAATGAGGGTTAAACCGATTCAGCACTGGAAGAAGTTTCTACACCAAGACCATCGAGCAATAATTTAACTACCCTCAGAAGTGACTGCAAACCACAAATCTATATCCCCCTAAACCCAAATAAAATGTACCTCCTATTCAGCTTCCCTTAGCCATCTCCTAAATATCCACAGTCATTCAGATACCCCTCAATTGGAGAGGAAATAAAAATTTCCCAGATGAGAAGCTGAGACTCAGTTTGACCTGAGGCAAAAGAATAGAAAACCTTAAGTCAGGAACTAAAGCTGGCTCTTTTTATTATGCTAAGTGATGTTTTCTTTTTTTAAATAATATATATATATTATATTATTTTTTTTTCAGAGAGGAAGGAAGAGGGAGAGAGAGATAGAAACATCAATGATGACAGAGAATTATTGATTGGCTGCCTCCTAAACGCCCCCTACTGAGTTTTAAGCCTGCAACCCCGGCATGTGCCCTTAACCAGAATTGAACCTGGGACCATTCAGTCCACAGGCAGACGCTCTACTACCGACTGAGCCAAACCAGCTAGGACCTAAGTGATGTTTTCTTAATGAAAACTGCAAATAATTAGAAAATAAACATATAAGAGACAAAAATAAAAGAGATTATCATTAATTGAAGGATTTTACTAAACACAAGCTAAAAACTAGAACTAGGTAGTCAGATTAATTTATAAACAAAGTAAAATTTTAAATTATGGAATTGAGCTGAATAGATTCCAATCCCCATGATAATTCTTAGAAAATTCCTCTGTGTATCCCAAAATTTGAAAGGGCAAAAAGAGAATTCAACTCGCCTAACACCTTTCTCTACCACCAGCTCCCAACCCCAAGCTATCTCCCACACTTTAATCTTTAACTCCTTGAGCAGCTTTTGACAGTTTAAAACATGCTTATCATCAAGCAGGAATAGATCCAGATTTTACAGGCCCATGTCAGGCTGTTCTACACTGTGGCTTTCTACCAAGTGTCCCCTGAGAGCATCTTAGGATTCTAAAGCCATTGGTATATTCCTGAAAAGTGGTATTTTATTAAACACCTCATAGTAAGCTGTATAACAAAGAAACTAAAGCATTTTTTGGAAAACTTGGCCTGTCAAATAATATTTATTGTGGGCCTCTTACTGCTAGGTGCTGTTCTAGGCTGCAGGACTTCTGCAGGAAGCAAGACAAGCAGACTCTGCCCTCAAGAAGTTTACAATCTAAAGAAGAAATAGCAATAAATATTTAATAAATAAAGAATTGTGAGTATTGATAAGTATCATAATGAAGACAGAACATTAGTGACTAAGGATGAGTAGACCGCTGTAGGGCAGAAGAAATGGCATAGAATTGAGATCAGAATGCTAAAAAGAAAGCAGCCATGGAGAGATTTGGAAAAAAACTTCCCAAGGAAAAAGTACAGGAAGCACAAAGTCCCTGAGGTGGAAATGAACTGAGCATGTCTTGAGCACAAGAAAAAAGTCAAGGTAGCTACAGCTTCATGGACAAGGCAGATATAGAGGAAGGTGACATCAAGAAGGTAGGCAGGACCTAGTGGGCCCTATCTATATATAAAAAAGGCTAATATGCAAAGTGTCCCCTCAGGAGTTTGACCGGGAGACTGGGAATTCAATCACTCACTATGACATGCACTGACCACCAGAGGGCGGCGCAGAACAAAAGAAGGCACTGGCTGGCAGCCTGCAGGCCCTGATTGGCCCTGATTGGCCCTGATCGCTGGCCAGGTCTAGGGACCCTACCCATGCATGAATTTTATGCACCGAGCCTCTAGCGCAGGGGTAGGCAAACTTTTTGACTCGAGGGCCACAATGGGTTCTTAAACTGGACCGGAGGGCTGGAACAAAAGCATGGATGGAGTGTTTGTGTGAACTAATATAAATTCAAAGTAAACATCATTACATAAAAGGGTACAGTCTTTTTTTGTTGTTGTTGTTTTATTCATCTCAAATGGGCCGGATCCGGCCCACGAGCCATAGTTTGCCCATGGCTGCTCTAGTGTGTTAATAAGCTTGAATTTCTTTCTTAGTAACAACAGAACTCATTGGATGTCTTTAAGCAGCAAGTGATGTGATCTTATTTCCATTTTAGAAAAATCACTGCAGCATGAGAGAAAAGATGCAAGAGTAGAGAATGGGAGAGGTCCGGTCCAAACATATAAGTTTAAGAGACAGCATATTTTAAATTTTATTTGTAGTCATGGGACTGCCTGAGACCAACTCAAGAGAAAGGGTCCACTGAGTAGAAGGGCTGAGTACAGATCCACAAATGTTTGGAGGTCTGAGAGAGGAGGTAGTTGGTATTTGTCTGACACCCTGGTTCTCAAGCCAATGAACCCAACAGCTCAGGTAGTATGAAGCTCTATACCTGGAGATTGCCTGTAAAGTGAGCAGAACCACATTCCCCGATCTGCCTGGAGCTGGAGCAGTGTGAGCAACGTTTCCAATGCTAATATTTGCACTGAGGAGACACATGGACAGGAAACACATGTTGGGTTTCTTGACCTAAAAGAGTCTGGTGATTGAGGGTGAAAGGCTAGATCAGATCTTCATTTGAGGAAGATGAACTCAAATACCTCAGAGAGACAAGATGATAGAAGGTCAGAATAGGAGAGGGATAATTAAGAATGGAAGAAAAGAGGCAAGAGGAGGGAGAAGAAGGGAATGATGAAAAAGAAAATCAGCAATAACTTAAGAAATGAGTATAGCATAAGGGCAATGTTATATCACAGGATGTACAGTAGGTAATTTGGGGTGGTATATAGATTCTTAAAAATAGTTATGGATTATGCATTTATTCTATAGTTATCTTTTGGCAATTACATTGATTGTTTTTGTTTTGCATTTCCAGGAATGAGATAAAAACAACACACAGTTATTTCAGAAAAAAATAGAAATCAGTTTAATGGAAAAATATGCATATATCAATTTCCTAATCTCAAGAATCCTTGGGGTCCTTATCAATACAACAGGATATAACATGCTTTTCAGGGTTGTGTGATGACTAATAAGGTTCAACAAGCATCTAGTGCAATGCCCAGGAGGCTCTCAATAATAATTAGCTAACATTATTACTATTGATATTTTAAAGTACCTAGCATGTTACAAGTGTAACAAAAGTTATTTTATTAATGGAAACATAGAAAATCAATCGAAATGTAAAGAAAAGGCAAAACAAATCTGGAGAAATAATTATATTACAAGATTCGCAGGAAAAAAAGAATGGGATGGTCATTAAAGACAATAGATTAAAGCAAAAACTGGAATTAGAAGATAGAGTTGATTAGAAGAAATTAGAGGTTGAAATAAAATTGGGAGTCGGGTACCACAGAAAACAAGATGGTTTTGAGATGGACCTGAGGGATCTGTTCCCAAATCAGGTTGCTAAGCATAGAAGAAAAGCACAGGCTCTTGTCCTGGGGATGACGGGCAGGCTCTGAGAGATCCTGGAAACCTCTAAAACTGAGTGGTAGAATGTTAGGCATGCAAATATCAGAGCAAGTATTTTTCTGAGAAGAGGGTCCATGCATCTCATCATACTTTCAGAGATCGATGACCTCAAATTTTTAAGTGTTTGCTGACTAAGCCAGGTCAATTAGTCAACAGAAAACATCTGACAGCTGTATGTCACTACAGGCACTATCCCAAGTTTGCCAAGTACTGAAATGGTCTTGTACTTAAAGTGTATAGGGCAGAGAGGGCAAGTATTGAGCTGGACATATAATGGGTGTTAACATATAAACATTCAAACCTGTAAAGGATGTTTGTGAGTTTACTGGAGCCGAACTGTTGACAGTTGCCGGGAAGCAAAATCTCAACGTATTGGGGTAATGCTCTGCAGGATGGTGGTGTTTTACCTTGTTTTATACATTCCAATCAGAGGAGACATAAGTGGGTTACATGAAATCCATTGGTGATAGATTAGGGATGTGGGAGAAAGCAAAATGGGGGATCTGGGATTATATAAAAAGTGAAATGATGGACACATGCACCAAAAGAAATTACAGAAAAAAAATAATTAAAAAGGGATTGATTAAACAAATTAATAGATACATAATTCAAACAACGATGACTTTAAATGTTGATTTTTTAAAAATGGAGGCTCAGTAGCCACTTCTAGTTATAAAAAAATAAAGCTAAGGTGAACAACAGCAACAAAATAAACTACAAAACCATATTTGATTAAGGTCAGGATGAGTAGCTCTTCATGTTCTTATCTCTTGAATATGAAGAGCTTCAGGAACTAAGAGAAAAAGAATACAAACAGACATTATTAACATACTAGAGGCCCTGTGCATAAATTCGTGTGTGGGTGGGGTCCCTCGGGGTGGCCTGCAGGGATCGGGCTAAAACCTGCAGTACATTGCCGCCTGCTGCTCCTGCCTCCCACTCCTGCTCATCTAGGCCCCTCTGCACCTGCCACGGGCTCGTCCCCAGTCAGTCCCAATCAAGAGAGGCTCACGCCGCCACAGTGGCGCTCACCAGCCATGAGCCCTGCGTCTGGCGCCTGCCCAAGGGGGTGTGGGGAGAACAGGATGTAATCGACCTTCCGGGTGGGCAGTAGGACGCCCTTGCCAGCCCAGGATCTGGATCCGTCCTGCTGACGTTCGCGCTGGTTGTCCGGAGCCACCTGATGGACACTTTTATATCGTGTCTTCCTTGTGGAACATCTAGGGAGGGGAAGCAGCCATGTTGCTCAAGGCTGACTTCCAGGAGGCTGGCAGCACTGTCAGG